ACGGCCGGGCTAGCCCTGGGACCCTCCAACGGCGCCGGGGTCCAAAGCAAGCGCAGGCAGGATGCGGGAGAGGTCGCGGCGCGCGGCCGGCGAGGGGCGGCGGAGGCGGGGCGTGCGCGCGGGGCGGTGTGCGCGTCTGCGGCGCTACTCGGTTGGGCCTGCGCGGCGCTTGGGAGGCGTGGGTCGCCCTACGTCTGACGCCCTGCCCTCCGGGGAACTTGTGGGGCCTCGCTGGGGAACGCTGCTTGGAGGAGCTGCTCTCTGCTCGGTCGTTGGCGTGTCTGTTAGTCGTTTCGTTGACATTAGTAGTTCGAGGACCGTTGTCGGAATAGGCCATCGGGGTAGGGGAGGCCCACTAATTGGTAGTGTAGCTGTACGAGCCAAGTCGCGGGAAACGCGGAGCTGAAGATGAAGGTTCCGCCTGCGCTGGTCTACCCTCTGTTGTGTGCCCCAGGCCCGCATAAACAGCCATGCGCGTGTACCTGCTGCTTCAGGGTTTGGTTCTGTCTTGAGCGAAAGGAAAACTGGGAGATGGGGCTTTTATTGCCCACTGTGTGATTGCTTAGTCCAGTCTTTCCGCTCCATGTTTCGCTTTCCACGCCTGCAGAACCTCGATCTCTCGGGGCTCTGAGAATAGGCTTTGGGCAGGCGGGGGCCTTAGCACCCTTCTCATTCGGAGCTCTTCCTTTGCCATTGTAAATTGAAACCAGAAAGTATGCCTTGGTTCTGCCCTAAAGGAATTTACAAAACTATTTTTTCTACCTGTAGTGGTGATAGAATAGTTAACATGTACTCAGTGGTTATTATGTCCTAGATGTAAAAAACAAAAACAGAAACCTTGTATCTTCTTTTAGTAATCAATATAATAAGCACCAGAATAATGCTACAAAGAAAGTGTTAATAACAGATGGTTATTTACCATTTGGGGTTAGGCTCTAAACAGGTGGACAGGATGAGGAAATAACGAGAAAAGGTAGGAAGGTGAGAAAGCACAGATCGGGATTCAACAAACATTAGTGAAGTATCCAGACTGTAATCTACTGTCAAAGTACTCACAATTAAGTCAAGGGTTATCTAGTGGCAAAATTCTTGCAATTAAAAAACGATAATAGGTAATAACATTGAGTTCCTTATTGTTTAAGAGACTTAAACAAGTAGGTACCAAAGAGTTAAGTAACTTGCCCATGGCTGCACAGCTAACAAATGGAGGAGCGAGGAAAAAGTCAGTAGTATGGGGAAGGTTAGCCTGCACGTGGGGTAACAAGACAGGATGAATCTGAAAAGTAGTTGAAGAGGAGCTGCATGGATGTTTACATCTGTTTCTAGCATTTTTATTAGAAATAGGAATTGAATATTAACTGCTTTTTTAGCAGCTTGGGAGATTGCTTTTCTCCTTTAGTTTTTGAAAGGAATATTAATAGAATTTCTATTTTAGTGAGTTATATTAACAAAAATATTAATAAACAGGGATTTAAAGAATTATATTAACTAGCCCTGATAA